GAGTCCTAACTTCTAAACATTTATTCATATGGGGTTTTTCTTTTATGAAAAGCGTGCACAGCCTTCAGTACAGAACATTTAGAAAATTTTTTATGTATAAAAAGATCATTCTTCTATAAATACCTGTTGTGTTCACCTCTGTGTCAGGCCGTCCATGAGATCTTGGATCAGAGAGATGTGAAGACATACTCTGCCCCTCAGGAGCTCATGGCCTGGTCAGATGGTTTCCTGGGCTGATGCAGGGGAGTGAGTGATGTCTGAGAAAGAGTTACTCTGGAATAAGAGCGAACCTTGAAAAACAAATGGGAATTCATGGGAATAGTAGGCTTCTCCTAGTTTACTTGCCTGGAAGTTTATCCTTGTGATTTTTTTTGAAGACAATCAAAACCTCTATAACAAATTTATCAAGTTACATTCCTAGAAACAGAAGACGCCCTTTGAATTTTAAATACATAACAAAATAGTAGCATATATTATAGGCAGTTTAGTATATTAGACTATTGTAAAAGTGAACCAGTTTAAAATAAAACAGGTTTCAAAAATGCTGGATAAGTTTACAGATGAGAGTTCCATACCTGATTGTTAAGGTGTCCCAAGGTTCTTAGGGTCATGAAAGTTTGGAGTTAGATCACATGCATTATGTCATTCTCCCAAATGTCCCCGATTTCCTCTTTAGAACAAAATACTCACCTGGATATTTTAAAGCACACTGTGTCACCTTAGGGCACAGAAAGAAAATACAGAAGTATACCTCATACTTTATTGTTATCTCATTTGCACTTATGTTCTATTTTAGATGTTTTTAATATATTTTATATGTAAGATAATTAACCAAATATATACAAAGATGCACTTATAAGTAGATATGCAAATATTGGAGGGTATCATCCACAATTACTGTTGTCTCTTTGATGGGCTGTGTTTGGTTATGAGTGATAGAAAGCCTAACAGTGACTAGGCACAGTTTATTTATTTACTTTATTTACTACTTTACAAAAGTGGGTAGGTGGTCTTAGAGTTAGTGTAACAGCCTAGTGATTCCATTAAGAAATTTTTCTATCTTTCCATTGACATATTTGGCGTGATGCCCTACAAGTGTAAAATTTTACCCGGTGGTGAATTTTATTTACCTTGCCCAATTCCTGTGTGATTTTAGGTGAGTAGTGATATATGGACACTATATAGTGAAATGTTTAGGTAATTTCTAAGGTTTCAAATTTATTGATGATTGCAGTATACTGATAGAAGGATCAAGCCTAGCATTCTGTTACTGTTTATTGTATTAAAATATTAAAAATATTTAGCAGTGGTGTTTCTTTGGATCCAGTCAAGTCATTGCAAGGGATAAGCATGTGCATTTATATTAAGTTTTGGATTCTCTAAGCTATGGAAATGGAAAACCCGAGTACATGTTAAGCCTGACATCTCTGTACTCTCTCACCTTGGACTTTTCAGAGGCATTTACTTGGGTCTCTGATCCTCTGTAATGTGCTGATACACAATAACATGATAGGGAAGGCAGTTGGTAGAATGGGGAGGTAACCACTGGAGACAGCACTTGTCAGATGGAAACTAATTGATTGTAATTGCTTTGCCATTGTATTGCTCTTGGAGTCTGTAGCTTGTTAAAACCACTGATTATAAAATAAGGATCTCACTTTTTATGCTGTAGGTTATGTTAATGAAAAGCTGTTCTTAGAGGAATGATCAGTGAATATCAATAAATGGATAATAAGAAATTAAAGGAAAACTTAACTAACTGATCATGAGTTAATATACTTCAGTCAGCGTAGCAATCAACTGTGTGGTGTTTCGTATTGAATATTTTGCTCAGAGCTCTTGAATTTTAAATATTTCCCGTAGAAAGATTGATTCTGTGTAACTATTTATTGCAAGCTGTCTTGAATAACAGATCTTCTCTGTAGAGGAGATCTCCTGGAAAACAGAAAATGTTTCTGTTTTGCAGAGCCTTTATTTTGTGCCAAAATATTAACAGACAGATATTTTAAAGTGGAAAAATAAGTTCCTGTTGTACCACCAAAAAAAGAAGATATTAGAAGTGGGATTTTTCTTTTCTTTTCTTTTCTTTTTTTATTTATTTGCGAGAGAGAGTATGAGAGAGAGCATGAGAGGGAGGAGGGTCAGAGGGAGAAGCAGACTCCCTGCTGAGCAGGGAGCCCGATGTGGGACTTGATCCCGGGACGCCAGGATCATGACCCGAGCCAAAGGCAGTGCTTAACCTACTGAGCCACCCAGGCGCCCTAGAAGTGGGATTTTTCAATGCCCACATTATATGAGCATTATGTGAGTTAAGATTTCTGTGACTCTGAGGGCAGTGTTTGTTTTTCCAATATTCCCCAATATTAAAGTAGGTATACTAAAATGCTAAGATTGATGTGAAATTATATCTAACTTGTTGTAAGATATGCATTAACTTTTATATGATTGTAATGATGTCTTTCATGATCATATCATTTACCAATGGCATTTAAACTCTTAGCAGTGTTAGAGTGATCCAGATTTATTGAAGACATTTTTTACTGAACACCAATTGTGAATCGAGGCTCCACCTCTGACCTTAAGAAACATACAGACTAAAGAAAAAGATAAACATGTGAACAAAATGCAGCATTGAATGTTGAATGCAGTGATGTGAGTGATCAAAGGTGCTAGGGAGACACAATAGGAAGATGATGTAAGCTTTGAAAGATTTCTGGATGTCTTCCAGCAAAGAAAAAGATGATCCAGGAAGAAGGAGCAGTGTGACAGCTTCTTGTGTTTGGAGAAATAGAAAAATAATTGGAAATGAAGTTGTGTGTCTTAGGGTACAAGATGACCCCAGAGGGCAAAATTCCACATGGTCTCAGTCCTTCTCTGAGGAATTTGGAGTTATTCCTATGGGGATGGGGCCTGCTGAGGATTTTTAGGTGTGGGAAGGTTATGAGTGAATTTCCTTTTAGGGCAATCACTTTCTCCTCAATTTGGATGATGAACAGGAAGAGGCTCATAGTGGCTTCCAGTTACTAAGCTGGTTGGTTACAATAACCTATGATATTGAACATTATTATTTAATCTAGATCTAAGTAAAGGAAATTAAAAGAGCTTAAATGCAGAATCATTTATTCATCTTTGACTTTTTATTTTATTTTATTTTATTTATTTATTTTTTAAAGATTTTATTTATTTTTTAGAGAGCGAGCGAGAGAGAAACAGCATGAGAGGGGAGAGGGTCAGAGAGAGAAGCAGGCTCCCCGCTGAGCTGGGAGCCTGATGCGGGACTCGATCCCAGGACCCTGGGATCATGACCTGAGCCGAAGGCAGACGCTTAACCATCTGAGCCACCCAGGCGCCCCTTATTTTATATTTTAAAGATTTGTTTATTTGAGAGAGAGAGCATGAATGGGGGATGGGTGGGTAGGGTAGACGGAGAGGAGAGAGAGCATCTCAAGCAGACTCCCCGCTGAGCACAGAGCCGGACTCTGGGCTCGATCTCACAACCCCTGAGATCATGACTTGAGCCGAAATCTAGAGTTGGACACTTAAATGACTGTGCCACCCAGATGCACCCATCTTTGATTTTTTAAATGTATTTTTTTCTCCAATATGGCAGTGGAGTTGGTGCTAATACTTTAGTTGCCTAAAACTGTGAAACTAAGAATGTCTATATGTGATAACAGAGTCTGTGTCTAGTAGATACCACATACTTATGGCTAGTTCCATATTTAGGAAAAGGATGTAGACATACAGCTTAATTTAAAAATGTAAGTAATTATGATTTTAAAAACAAATGTTTAAAATAATGCTTAAAGGGCGCCTGGGTGGCTCAGTCGTTAAGCGTCTGCCTTCGGCTCAGGTCATGATCCCAGAGTCCTGGGATTGAGCCCCACATCGGGCTCCCTGCTCCGCGGGAAGCCTGCTTCTCCCTCTCCCACTCCCCCTGCTTGTGTTCCTGCTCTCGCTATCTCTCTCTGTCAAATAAATAAATAAAAATCTTAAAAAATAATAATAATAAATAAAATAAATCATTTAAAATAATGCTTAAAAATGACAATAATTTGGTTCTGTTAGGTGTTTACCAGAAACATTCTTCACATTTCAGATTCTGTTTCGGAATTTGGAACATTTGCATTTTAATTACATAAGAAAAGGAAAACGTGGAAGAATAATTGGTTCAGCTATTAGCCGATTAGAGCTGTAACTAAAAACAAAAAACAAAAAACTCATAGAAACTGACATTGGTTTCCACAGAACGGTCACAATATGCAGTGATCAGATGTTTAATGACATTTGGCAACAATAAAGGGAAGGAGATCCTGTTTCAATCTTTCATACAATGTGTTTGTTAAAAACTGAAATTAACAAAAGCGGGTTTGAGGTGTTTGACTGCAGAATCATTCAGCTTTTACTGTTAATGTGTCCTCAAAGGGGGCTTATAGAGTGATTCCAATTGCTAAAATCTAGTGGAGAAATAAGACGACTGAATACAGTGCTTATCTTAGTTGGGGCTGCTATAACAGACTGGGGGCTCATAAACCACAGAAATTTGTTTCTCACAGTTTTAGAAGCTGGGAAGTCCAAGATCAAGGTGCCTGAAGATTCAGTGTCTGGGGAGCAGTGAGGACTTCCTGGCTCATGGAGTGCTATCTTCTCGCTACCTTCACATGCCTGCAGTGGGCGACGGAGCTTTCTGGGGCCCTTTTATAAGGGTACTAATCCCATTCAAGACCTAATCCCCTCCCACAGGCGCACCCGCTGATGCCACACCTCATTGTGATTAGGTTTCAACATGTGAATTTTGGGGGGCACACAATGTTCAGTCATAAAGTGTGGTCATATCCAGTGCATTTCTTCAGTCCAGTGGAGGATCTGTGCTCCCTCTCTGGTGGCGGAGGGTCAGAGCCCAGGAGAAGTCCTCAGTGCACAGATCCCGGCCTGGGATGGGGCCCGGTGGTGGCAGAACGCGTTGCTGACAGCAGTTCTCTGTGTGTTTCCCCTGACAGATACAACGACGTATTCCACTGAGCGATCTGAGCACTTCAAACCCTGCCGAGACAAGGACCTCGCATACTGTCTCAATGATGGCGAGTGCTTTGTGATCGAAACCCTGACGGGATCCCATAAACACTGTCGGTAAGCCCCTGGTGGCCGGTCGTGGGGGCAGGCCCTCAAAGAGGCTTGGCAGCGGGGTGGGCTGGGAGGGGGCAGTGTTTGAGCTCTGCAGTGTTACGTGGGATGCATTTAGTCCAGCTGTTGGAACGGCAGAATCAGTAGTCTTAAGACGGGAAGGGGCAAGGCTGGTATCTTTAGTATTTGAAGAAGGTAAAACTGAATTAAAATAGCCAAGATCTGAATTTTACCTGACTAAGCAAAGAAGGGTTTACTTTTATATCTACCAGTTTAATAGAGATAATTATTTATTCACTTTAGAAGGCTGCATTTTTTGGTTCAGGACTTAGGCACATTGGCGTGTACTAAGAAATAATACCTTCTTGTAAAACTACAGAATGTGGCATGGCAAAGCAAACTGCTCATCTAAGATCTATCGGCTCAGTGTTGATTGTGAACCAAACCCCAGACTGTAACTGTGTCCAGAGAAGACTGGAGCTCATCTTGATTCTGCCCTCGTTTATTAATTTCATTATTTTTTTAACACCTCTCTTGATGAAACACTCTCCAGCAAGATGTTGTAAATGAAATCATAGTCCTGTTATAGTCTAGGTAGAGAACTACTTAGGGAAAATTCCCAGTAGAGATCAGGAGGTGTTTAATTGGTTTTTAGAGACTTAAGGTTATTATATAAGTGCTAAAAATAAAAACAAGTTGAAATAAATAGTGCACTTGTAGGCACTGCAGCTTTAAGGTTCCATAGAAGAATCAAATTAGCATCCAAAAAATATTTCCCACTGAGCTTTTATTTCCAGCACTACCCCTGGTAATTTGTTTTTTCTTTCAATTGTATATGCTTCAGTGATCATATATATCCACACCCCTTTCCTTCTCTTTATTTACTCTTCTCATATGACACACTTATTAAATTAATTATTCTGAATCATGAAGAATGGAAAATTACGATTTTTCCCTCTATATATTGCTATTATAAAACTTCATTCTGTGTTGTTTTAAAACAAACAGGGTTCTAGAGGGGAGGGGGGTGGGAGGATGGGTTAGCCTGGTGGTGGGTGTTGAGGAGGGCACATTCTGCATGGAGCACTGGGTGTTATGCACAAACAATGAATCATGGAACACTTCATCTAAAACTAATGATGTAATGTATGGGGATTAACATAAGAATAAAAAAAAAAGATGGCACAGAGAAATGCGCCTTGTAGTTAGGAGCTTGGAACATGTTGGCAAATCCTGCCTGACTCTAAGGGCCAGTTTCAGTCCACGAGGAAGATGAGTTGTCCCAGTGGGTGACACAGGTTTGAAGGAGCCGATGAGTGACAGTGGCAGATCTCTGTCTTCTGTCAAGATAAACAGAACCGGGACCTTTCCTCACTCTTGAGAGCATGGCTTCCATGTGACTTGGGGATTGCCATTACACTTACCCCACTTACAAAATTTACACCCTATTTCTGTCCTGTGAAATTGGGTTGGGGATGAAGGGGAGTGGGAATGCTCCTTCCCACATCCCTCTTCTTGTGTTATATTTATTAGGTCAGTGTAGACAGAGGTAGAAAGCACACAAGTGACTTTAAGACCTCAAGGCAAAAGCCAAGAGCTATCTACCCATTCAAAGCATGAATTGTATCCAAGCTCTCATAAATACTCAACCATACGTTAAAGAGATCACCATGTGGAAGTGGGCGATGCAGTTAATTAAGTCTGAATTCCTAATCGATTGGTGGAGCGATTAATTAGAAGTCTCACCTAAAGCAGTGACTTTTGGGATGGTGTTTTACCCAAAGGAAGGATCAGATCAGGCCCCACCACAGTACCCAGGTGGGTATGATTGATCTTTTTGAAAACTGAGAATGTTGAAAATAACAAAAGTAATTCTTATTCTTTTTCAACATACAATCTCACTATATTCTGGATTAGTTCATGATGTATTAGTTTGCTAGGGCTGCTGTAACAAAGTTCCACAGATTGAGTGGTTTAAACAAGAGGAATGTATTTTATCACAGGTCTACGAGCTAGAAATCTGTACTCCAGGTATTGGCAGAGTTGTTTCCTTCAGGTCTCTCTCCTTGGCTTATAGATGGCCATCTTCTCCCTTGTGTGTTCTCATTTTCTTCCCTCTGTGTCTGTATTCAAATTTCCTCTTCTTATAAAGACACCAGTCATACTGGATTAGTGTCCACTCTCATGACCCTATTTTAACTTATCTCTGTAAAGACCCTTTCTCTAAATATGGTCCCATTCTGAGTTACAGGAGGTTAGGACTTCAACATATTAATTATTTGGGAGACAAATCTAGTCTATGATAATGGATCTCAGGTCTGGAAAAAATATCTTTTGCTTTTGTGCATATATGCATGTCTAATTTTTTTGCCTACACAAGCAGAGATACGTCTATGATTTAGCTGGAATGATGTATATATATAATTTTTGAACTTCTGTCTTCATATTTCTTGCATATTTCAGCACAGACAACCTGTTATTTAACACAGAGTCACAACATAGCTAATCATGACAAAAAAAAACAGCCTAAGACAGAATTGGAACTTGAGTAGGTTAATAGATGCCTATAAATCTCCTACTAGAGTGTATGAATAAATCACACATCGCGTGTGCCCACTCTTCATCTCCTGGGCTTTGCCGTGAATAAAAAGCTTACATTTGTTCCTGCATCAGCCACTTCTAAGAATTCCCATGTAGTTATTAATAATGTGCTATTTTGTATTGTACTCTATTTAAGTAGTATGTTTCATTCATTCTTCTTCATTTGGCAAATGTTTATTGAGCACCTCCTATCACCAAGGTATTGTTAAATAAATACATCCAGAAATGAATTTAGGAATTAAATGGTGCTGTTCTTTGTAATGCACTTGGAGTAAATGAAGTAGTTTGTTGTCAGGAAGTAAGGAAAACAAGGGAAAGTATTTTCACGAGACTGGCATGCTATCAGGGGTATCTTTGTGATAAATTACCAATTGGGCCATGTTTCAAGTTAAATAAAACACACAATTTAGTATATTAGACCAGCAATATGTAGGGGTCTCTGTGAATCTAGCTCATTAAATGCTTTACTTGTGACATTCAGATCTAAGAGAAATCAAGATTATGCTTTTTAGTATTTTAAAAGTAAATTGCAATCCTATGATAAATCCTGATTGTGATCCTATGAATCAAAAAATTTTTTCTATGTTGAGAAAGATTGATCATGCTCTAACACTTTTCTGTTTACTTGCCTAAGAAGAATAGTTGCAAACCTACTTAGATCATCTCTGATAGAGATCCTTAAAGTGTATGCTCAAAAATGTTAACAGCATGAGGGAGGTTTCATATTTTTCTCTTCGTTATTTTCTTACTCTTTAGTGTATCTTTAGAAAGCCATTTTTAGTATTTAGAAATTACAGAGCAAGCTAATGAAAATTTAAGAGCAATACCAAGATTCTAAAAATAACTTGACAAAGGGGATTTTAAAGAAAAATAAATAGGCAAACTTGGTCTTGCTGAATTTAAAATATGCCATAACGTCCTAGATCATTGGCTGACGGACTGGCAGAAACAGAACGAGGTATGTTCTGGAACTTAGTGTAGAGTAAGGAGAGATCCATAAATCGGAGGGAAAATGAGAGGCTGATGGCTCAGTAAATTTGGTTGGCTATCAGGTAAAACAAATCAAATTTGGATTTTTACTTTCCTTCTTTATATGAAAAGTTGTTTTTAATGAATTCAAGAGTTGATGTAATTAATAAAGTCTTGAAAACAGTAAATAAAATTACATATTTATTTATGTCAGCAATTGAAGGGATCTTTTGAACAAAAAGCAATGGAAGGAAAAAATAAACAGCCTGACAGACCATTGCTTTTTGGTCTGAATCCCATAAATCAGAAATAAAATTAAAAGATAGACAAATTATCAGTAAACTGTATAATATGGCAAGGAATTAATATTCTAATGAGTTACATAGATCAACTAGTGTAACACTAAAATTAAGTCTCAGTAGGAAAATGGGCAACAAGGGGAACTTATTCCTCCCTTAAAAAGGGATACAAATAACCAATAAACATGAAAAATACTCAGCCTCACAAAGAAATGCAAATTAAATTTTTTTCCCTGTTATATACTTAATGATTTTTAAAACCAGTTTGCTGAGAGTAGAGTAAAAGCACATTTTCATTCACTATCTGAGGGAGTACATTTTGTTAAGTATCTTCTGTATGTAATGTTTCAGTATGTTTCAAAATATTTACATTGTTTCTAAAAATGTAGTGTACAGAAATGTATATATAGATTTATTTATAAGAATATTCACCACAGATTTATTTGTATTAGGAAAAAACCCTGAATTTATAATTCTATATAAATTAGAACACATCCATGCATTGGATGAATTCAGCCTAACTAGAATTTTCATAATGTTTTAAGGACATGAAAATGCTCATTATATCATGTTATATATATGAAACTCAGGATATTCTAAAGTTGAACATACAATAACAATCCAATTCTAAAAAAGAGCTTAGTAAAAAGACTAATAGGTTTTACAACTATTTTCTTCTTCAAACCTTATGAATTTTCTAAGATCTGCACATTACACATGTATTTCATTTATGTAATACCTGGTTAAAACACTTGACCTTGCTTCTCATCTTTCCATTAAGAAAGATAGATAGTGTCCCTGTCTCTGTTAAATCAAGGTCATTATAGTTCATTATTATTAGGCTGATAAGAGAACTTCCAATTAAGCCCTTCCAGATTAAATACTACCAAGTATATTTGAATGTGTGTGCTTCTTCTTTTATTAATAATTCATTTACACTTTTTACACTAATTCTTTTCCATGCTGAATTCGTGTGTTTTGAAACATAAAAAAATTGGATTAAATAATAGAAAGATATATCCTACAGAAATAAAGCTGGGTGAGAAGGAAAGCAAGTCACTAGAAACTCATTGAATCAAAATATTCTGAATAAAAGCAGGATATTCTCTAACATATTTATTTTTATGTCATTTCTAG